AGGGGTTTATAAAATATATATAAAATGGCAATATGCATTAGGACATTAGGACAAGCTGGTTAGCGTGATATGTAGTACACTGAATATTGAATTGTGAATGATTTTAGATGCAACCCAAGTTTTAAGTTTGAACCCCACGCTGTCAAAATTCCTTGACTATACTAAATACATTGTGCACTCAGTGTAGAGATTATAAATGAGTTTTATTTTACATATGCACAGTGAATACTGGGAACACAAAAACCCACACAAGGTTCATTTAAAAAAAAAAAAGAAAAAACAGGAAGTGAGTTCAAGAAAGGAAACACAGAGGGGCACCGAGGATTCTTGGTTGATAAAAGGAGTTAACCAGACGGTACAGCAAAGAGTGTGACACTTTAAATGATGACAGAGAAAACATGGCATCTTGCCTCCAGAAGGTCTCGCCTGTTTCTGTTTAGAAATGTTAAAAATAGTCATGTAAATTCCAGGTTAGACTGTCTTTTGAACACAACCACCTTTTGATGGAAATGTAAATGAAAAGCATCACTTCCTCTGCACCAGATGATATTTTTCAGGAAACACCTACGCAGGATGTCGATAATACCAGAGGGGAACGTGTTTTATAATTAGGGCGAGTCACTCTTGATATGTGCTAAACTAAGAAAAACACATCTTAGATGTTATCGCCTATCGCCACTTCAAAGTTGCACCGTTAGCATTTTCATATTGAATGAAAAGATACTTGATTTTGAAAATAACCAAAGAAAAAACTTAAACTTCAATGTTGTAATGGGGAGCTCGTTGCTCATTTATCCTGCAGTTTGTGTGATGTACAAAACAACTTGTCAAAAAAAGATGGAGCCGTTAGGAGGACTAAAAATAATGCTAGAATGGGTGCTGGTTTGCTGTGTTTTAGTCCTGCGGCTCATCCTTCAAAATGTCATCTGCATTTTCCTCGAGGTTGTTTATACTTACCCCAGCAGGCTCCAATAACAAATGTTTAACTGTTTTTTTGCAGAGCAAGACAAATCAGTCCACTGCACCGATGAATGTCGTGCACTGGGACATTCTGACAGATGCTGGATGCCAAAGTTACGGGTAGGAAGCCAAGCAGACAGCGCAGATAATCGTACCAACCTTTTCATCCCTGTGGGAATGGATGCCATGGTAGAGACAGAGATTTATGGCACCATCAACTGCAACAGCAGAAAAACCCTCAGCACGTTTGGAAAAGAACAGCGGGACAGCACGATCCTCGTGGCAAACGTGAAACCTTACTTAAAATCGCAGCGTGCACTAAGCCCACCGCTACAAGAGAGTCCATCTTCGTCCAGCAGTCCCACCAAGAGTAGTAAGCCCCAGGACTTGGCCAGCCCCGAGTCCAAAGAAGAGAGGGACGGTGGGTCCGACAGCAGTGCCTACGGCCCTCCAGATGGCCAGTGCTCCCCACTGCACACTGAGTTGGAGGAGCCCTCCTATCTCACCTGCGAGCTCAGGCCCAAGTCTCTGTCAAGCAGTCTCATTCACAGCTCAGTCATCAGTCAGGAGTGCGGGGGGTCGGAATGTGCTCCCGACCCAAGGGCCTCTGGTAACTGACAGGTGAGGCCATCGCGCCCTCTCTTCTGGCTTGCCAGCGGTGTGACGGTGATGATGATGATGTTGGAGGTTGATGACGAAGAGGTGATTTGTTTTGATCCACTGAGGTGTTCTTACACGCATTGTATAACCAAAAACCATCCGCTTTGTATGTTTTTCCTTTCTTCCTCTCTCTGTTTCTTTTATTGAGTTTGTGACTTGTTGTGTTTTGGTGATATTTGTCCTTGACTGCTGTGAAGATTTGGGGTGGGGGGGGGGGGTTGGGGGATCAGTGCTTACCGGACTTCAAAGTGTTTTCATGGTGTACTGTACCTGTCAATCTAGATGTCTGTATTTTACACATTTCAAACTCCAATTTTGTGAGGCTGTTGAGCAAATTGCTACTGTTAACGCTATTGAGTCCTGTCTGCTTTTGTACAGTGAAGCTTTCTGTCTCCATTTAGTGTTTAAGGAACATCTCTTTGAATATCACAGGAAATACATATCAGTGACGTTAAATTCAAAAGTGAAGTGTCTTATGAACTGTTAATGGTGGTGCAACAGGGAATGTCCCTTTTCATAAAAACCATTTGAAGTTCCTATAAAAACAATTTTTTAAGAATGTATTTGTAATTTTATTGTTGTCCTCTGCAGTTTATGTGAAAATAAGCTGAGCTTACACGTGAACGTGGGCTACTGTACTTGTTGTGGACTTTATTAAATTTGTATACACTGTGTGCATGGAAGGCATTTCTTTTTGACTGGTGACAACTTCTAAAGCTGTCATGTCTTATGTGAGAGACGTGCATTTCTGTCTAAAAGGTGCTTTCACATGTTAATTACAAATAGCACTGGTGACTGCAAATGTGCCAACTTAGCTATACACTGTGTACCAGCACATATTACCTATCAGTATCTTAGCTAGAGCAAGAAACTCAAAATCAGTCATTTTACACCGCTATTTATATTCAATAAAGTCAAATAAAAACGGGCACTGTGAATTAGTGCACCCAACAGAAGATGAGTTTACTTCCTCTGCTCAATGCTTTCATTAAAAGTTTGCATCACTGCGATGGAGATGTTTGTGCTATTTTCAAATGGAGCCACTGGCAGATAATATTTACAAAGTTTGTTTGAATATGAATGTGTCTGACAAATGATGAGACATGAATCCAACAGGAAAGAAACCCCTTAGAGTTCAGCTGCAACTGGCAGATACAAGCAAGGGATGCTGTAATTAATTCTTTGATTGTATAGAATGAAATCAAATTGTAATCATACCTTCAGGGGAAGTTGGCAATTGCAGCAGGAAGGACTTAAACAAATGATGAATTAAAAGTCATGGCATGTTATGGCAACGAAAAAAATACATATTGGGTCAAATTATATGACAAATTTTCACAAATCAAACAAATAATTAATTCCTGACCTTGCTGATAATATTAAGGTTTGCAGTAACACTTTGAGCCCCAGTATCTCCATCATTAGATTTGCAAAAGCGCATGTGCAAATTTGTTGTTTATATGCATTTACCATTCAATCAAATCAAATGCGGATGAAGTAGATCTGGTGACAGACAGGCCAGGGTCAGGAGGCCTAATACAGCAGCCAAAACTGCAGCAATCCATCCAAATTTGCTCATTTCTGTCCAAACATTACCTGCTTCCCAAACGTGGCTGTTGCTTTTTCTGTTCCAGCGGCGGACAGAGACATCAACGCAGCTGTGATCAGTAATGCTATTTGTAAAGCCCAGAGCATATCCACTACATCTGCTCGTCTCTATGGCGTGTTTTAGTACACACAAAGACGTCTGTTTGGGGATGTCTGTTGAGGCAGATCACTAAACTAAGGAATCCTGGGAATGTAGGGATGTTCTCTATTTCGCCCTCGTAAAACAATCTAACAAAAGCCTCCTGTTTCCTTTCACTCACTTTAGCTTAGTTATTCCATCTAGAGACCCTGACTTTTGTACCCTGGCACAGTGAGCAGTTTTGAGAATGCCTTGTTTTTCACGAGCCCTGGATAACAGAATCCTGTCATCTACTGAAAGCTGACTATAAGTGCGATTCCGTTCCTCCTCGGGGAAAACACATTAATTTGGATTTTGATTTGCATTTGTTTTGGTGCTGATATTGACACAATTCCAGACCTAGATGTCTCATCTCAGCAGGCAGCTCTGATGAGCTCATCTGCATAAGTTGAAATACTCTTTGAGAGGGAGATTGCGTGGGTCACAGCAACTCATCCCGTTGAAATACAGACAGAAACATCACATCATTTTATCTGCATCACTCCCAGGGCTTCAGAACATGAAGACAGGTGCGCAGAATGACAAGTAGGAAGGGTTGAACCATTTGCCATGACTCTTACTCCTCAAGCTATTTACCACTGTACCATTCAGGGATGGAAAACAGGTTAAACTTCAGATTCTGCCACAATTATGCAAAGTGATTTGAGCTGAAGCAAACATATTTCCTAATTACCATTATTTTACTGTACGGCAGCCTGACAAAACATACACACACACACAATGTAGTTGAGGGAATATGAATGCAGATTAAGGACTAGCGGAGCCTCCTGGATGAATTTGACTTGTTTCTCAGAATGGTTGCAGTCAAAAAGAAAAAAAGAAAAAATGACAGACAATGAAACTGATCTGTGTAATACCTCCATTCTTCTACATTTTACATACACAAATGATCTATTCAGATGAAAATGAAATGAGCACTGTGCCATTCAGTTGTGAAGAATTGACATGCTCACCCGGAGTACTTAAGCTTTTAATTCAATAATTCAATAACACAGGCGATTAAGAGCTTGTCTTCCACCTCCTCTAAATTCTATGGAAGATGGTTCCACTTGGCTGAAAACTGTTGATGAGGAAACAACAGAGTACAAAATACATAAACAATACTGAGGGTGCCATTTTCATTTCAGCTGGGGATGACATTGAACACAGCGTGTATGCCCTAAGGGTGATTTTTTTTTAATGCAGTCTTAAGATTTATTTTCATGTTTTTCCCAAATGTGGAAAAAAATAAGTGAAAAAGCTGAAACTGAACCCAAATTGAGTAAATTTAAAGGGATTACTTCTTTCAATTATCAATCCGTTTTTAAGAGGGGCTGTGAGGGTAGTCGGTGTCTCACAGTAGACGGAAGGTTGAAGCGTTCTCTGGAGTATTAGGGGGAATTTCTGACGGCAGAGCTAAGAGCTACTCAGAACAGGCCACAGAAGAGCACATTTTACTCTCTCAAACAATTATGGCCTTGAGAATTTAATAGCAGATTTAGAGAAGTCCATCTAGTGTGAAAGGATTTTTTGCACAGTGTTAATTTAGCAACAGACACTTGTTTATTTTCCACACTCTTTTTCTCTCGACTGAGGAATATTCATGTTCCAATGCCGTTCATTGAGCTCTAGAAGCTACAGGGAAATCAGAAACATGTCCCATGAGCCCTCCAACAAGTACGATACAACTCCCGTGCGCTTCATCATGTTGGGGGGGGCGGGGGGTGGGCAGCGTGCGAACGGTAAATTGTCACACCGTCACAACGCTGACATTCGTTGGTTGGGTGACAAACTAAAGCCCTTTCCTTACATGCCATATTAAACATTAATTACCAATCTGCTAAAGGTTAAGGAATCCATTAAATCAGACACTGCTACACTTTCTGTTAGAAATTCACTATGAAAGTGGTGGAAACTTTAAGGGTTCTCACGAAAATTGTCATTTGCACAAGACTGGACCATATTTGAAGTCTGGCATTAAGTGATGAGGTTTATTAGATTCAGAATATTCTCGCCACAACATTCACATTAATGATCCAATCAAACAGCGCTTGGTTTACATGGTGATGGTGGACGGAAGCATCAGAAAATATGACTCTCATAACATGTTTGAATAGCCATTTTGATACTTCTAGAGGTATAATTGTGGCGCAATAATGGTGCAGCTGTTATATACTTGAGAGAAACATCACCCTTTACTTCAAATGATCACGCTCTCTCCCAGCTGTAGTGGCTGTTGGTCAGAGAAGGTTCAGTCCAGATTCTCATACATTATCATGTTTTGACATAAAAATCTGCATCAGTCTAACAGACTCGGAGTGTTAAAAAAATACTTTCCGTTTATGGTCAGACAAAGCAGCAGCTTGATTGTTTGTCTTTTGTTAATTTGACTCAGAGCCTGTTTGAATCAGAGGTTCTGAGCCCTGTATGGAAAGTAGACTAGGTTTAAAATGAGTTTTTCTAAAAATCATTATATTTCTACAATGCAAAAGAAATGTAGTTATCAAATGTATGTATGTATGACTTTCTCTCAATTTGCAACTCAACTTTCAGGTGTGAATTATTCTACAATGCGAGAAATTAGCTTTTCTTTAACATTTCACTGTTAGATTGGCATCCCTCATCAAAATTCCTCCTTGCTTCTCCAAACTGAGAGCATTCTGTCCACTGTAGACATCAGGTAGGCCGATGACTACTCATAAACACTTCATAAAAAAAGAAAATGTTCCTCTAACAATTTTGTTGTCAACAGTGTGTTAATACTTGTATTACATGAACATTCAACTTAGTTGGAAAACTCGAAAATGCACAAGAAACATTTGAATGTGTGAATATTTTCCATTTCTGTACCCCCCCCCCCCCCTCCCACACACACACGCACATAAAAAAGGTTGAATATTTCATGATCCGGACGTGATATTAGAAGAATTTCATAAAAACAATTTTCATGAGTTTGCACATGGATTAAAAGTATACCCTCAGGAAATTGCTTTCTCGCCAAAAATCAGTTTTGATGATAAATAGAACAATCACATATGTGCATAAATGTGACACAACAGCCAGAAGCTGTGGCTGTTAAGCTTAGCTCAGCACAGTGACAGTGAGCACAGAGTCACAGAGAAGCCTGACTCTCCCCCTGCCAGCCATCCCCTCTAGAGCCCCGTAGTTCCTACATTATACCTGTATCTCATTTGTTCTAGTGTGTAGAAATGAGAAATTGCCTATGTTTTCAGTATCTCTGCCTACTTAAACTAACTAGCTACTGAATGTGTAATCTTTTTTTAACATGTCATATGTCATATTTTTCTCACAACACAGCATTCAAAATTTATATTCAAATGCCGAACTTTTTGTTTTGATTGTAGGGGATAACCTAAAGATTGTCTTCATATCCACTTCATATTCACTTCTTCTCTCCACTGCACACCAGAGAATATTCACTAATATTCTAATCAAAAGCAGAAGACAAATTCTTCTGGATTCCCTTTTAATATGAAGAAGAAAAAAACAAGGTATTTTGCATTTCATTGTTTGGGTATGTTTAAAAGTTTGGGATTGATGCCAAAATGTTGTTTTGTGTAAAAAAAACACATTTTCTCAAGCATGCTTTTATGAAGGCTGTTCTCCTGAGGCATACATAAGTTACCATAGACACCTCTGTGAAATGTTGCACATTATGTCACTCAGAGACATTGTAATCGACTCTGTAGGGATTAGTGTTGGTAATGCTTCACGTCTTCTCATATTAGCTACGGCTAAAAAGTAAAAGAAAATAGACCTATTATTTATTCATTTCTTTATACATCTATTTTTTCTAGCTCAACTAAAACTGACCAAAGGAGATGATTATTCAATCATGACGAAAAAACTCCTAAAAAAGTCAACAACAAGCCAAGCTGATTAATGTGTTGTTAAATTTCTACCAAGCAAGCTGACATGGAAATAAATGTGCGTGCCAACTTTCACTATTCAGTAATAATTCCCCTAAATTAGGCTGTGACAGTATGCACGTGTTCAGGCAACTGCATTTAGACAATGTTTTTCCCAGAATAACTGACTGGACCAGGGTAGTCAGGGACCTTTCGCAAAAAATACCATTGTTTGAAAATTGTGTTCAACCCTTTTTTAAAAAGCGTTGCTAAATGTGTTTCGGTTTCCTAAAGACTCTTGAGAATTAACCCTCCTTTTATTGACTCCCTTCTGACATAAAGTTCACGGCCACACAAGCATCCAATTCCAAATGATTGTTAAAAAAGGTATTACTAACAGCATTTTCCACTGGGAGGAGTTCAAACACATACCAATCTGTCAATCATGATTAATGTTTTACACTGGAAAAATATAGAACATGAGGAAGCGATCTGGCAGGACTTCACACAGGTTTCAGTGCATGTTACTGGGTCATGACACACTTTTCTCACTTTGAATTGGGCAAAAATAGTCCTCTCCATGCCTTTTTAGTGACAAAGTGGGCCAATATCTGCATAAAGTGGAAAAGCTAATGCGCTCTGTCATATGCTCAAGAGTCCTGAGTCTAAAAAGCTTCACCCTTTAAGTGCTTTGTCTGCCATCATAAATAAGATGAAAAATAGAGGAAAGAGGCACTAGGCAGAGCCAGAGCGAGCATAGAAACAGGCTCAGCCTTTTAGAATCGATAGACAGTTTATTGAATCAATACACAGTTTAGTGTAGCGCAAAACCTGTCTGTCTGACAAAAGTAGTGGATGTTGAATGAGATGGCCGATAAGGTGTCATGCGGGCAGAAGCGAGCCATCCTTGGGCTTCCCAGGCACAGCGTGCCTTTGACGCAGTCAGCTCTCTGACATTGCTCAGGCAAAGGTAAAGGTAGGGCCGTCGCAAAGCATGGACGGAGCACGTCGAATGTTAAGCTTCACAGTTTGCTTTTATTGCTGTTAAAGAGCAGATTTCTCATTAGCATTCCGTGTCAGTTACCTCTGCAGTTAATGATGCAGCCACCTTGGCTGGAGGTGGTTTCAAGTTGAGTTAGTTGGAGTTTTTTTAAGGTTTGCATGAGTTTGCATTCCATTAGCACTTGTAAGTATGTTGGGCTCTGCCGCACACAGCAAAGTATTTGACTTTTGCAATAATATTTAATGAGTTTTATCACATTCCTGAAAAAATAAACACACATTGCTGGAACAGTTAACAGCAATTTTACATGCATCCATACAAAGTTAAATTTACAAATAAAATGTTGGAGCATTACACTATTATTTACAGAGAATGGAATACTTTTGCTCTGCAAAGCAGCATTCTTGGCTTATCCTTAAGCCTGAATTTAATTGTTTGTGAGGGTAAACACAGAAACACTTCAGAGATATGTATCTCACGTCATTCCACCAGATGAGAAGAACACAGTGAAAAAAATTATACTGAGGACTGCATTTATTATCAAAAACATTGCAAGATAGATTAATTAATCCTGCAGCTTGCATTAGCTATATTAGAGGTCAGAAATGTTTCCGGTTTCTTAACCATTGTTTGTGTCTGTTTAATCCTCCAACCAAGTTTTACATAATTATTTAGATTCTTTCAGATTATCTAAAACTAAATATCGTGAAAATAAAGCATGAATGACTGAGGATGGTTTAAAATTTTTGCAGTAAACCCCTTGAGCTGGAAAAATTGAATAGAAATTAATGCATTTACATTTACAGTGTGATCTGGAGTGATATCTGGGTTTGGATGACATTATGGATTCATTGTTTGTAGACGCATATTTAATTTTGCATCTTGGCTGATTATATCTATCTGTTTCTAATTTCTCATCATATCAGCTGTCGTGAGCTTTACCCGAAGAAAAATGCTCAGAAACCTGCAGGTAAAGTGTAACACACAACAAGAATTATCCAACGATCAAATCATTTCCAGGATATTGGTACAAGTGATAAACAGTGAATCATTAATTTACCCTTTTGGTTTCTCTTAATTTTAAAGTCAGCGTACATTACGAAAACAAAGAGCCATTAGGGTTGTGAGGAGGGTACCACGAAGCTACAAAGAAAAGTTTACTATTCTTCTGGAGTTTTATTAGTGTTAAGCATTTAAACACCTATGGTCCACCCACACAGGTGTTTTCACTTGTTTTAGCAGATTAAACCTGGCCTGAGGACTGTGTGGGTGTTCTCCACAGAGAGCTCCACTGACAGCCCCCTCATACTCCTGTTAGCTTTATTGTATCTGCAAAGGCAGTCAATTTACACCTTTATGATAATTAGTACACAGAGTTTGGGGACCACATGGACTTAGCTTCCAAGCTCTTATTAGATGTGTGATCCACCAGAATAACTAGGAAAAAAAGAGGTGTGCCTGTTTATAGACTTGTAAAATTCATGCTGAGGATATTAAGTAGGTATGAATATATAAGCACTGGACTTCATTTGGATTGATTTAATGTCTTCAAAAAAGATGTCCAACTGATTGAGCTAAATTGAGCTAAATTACTGATCTGACAGTCTTCTGTGGAAAAGATCCCATCTGAAAATAAATAACTTATTTAAAATGTTCTTTTAACATTGTACTGTTAGTTTAAAATAGCATCCAAACATTAAATCAATCCTGCGTCACCTACCTTTAAAAAATCTGCTTTTATGATTTATCTAAAAATGTTCAGTAACTTCATAATTTGATTTGCTTATTTGTTTCTTCTTTAACATGATTTCTTGTTCTTGTGTATAATAAATGCCTCACCTCACACTTTTTTGGGCTGCACTAAGGTGGTGAGGGTGAGAAAACCTTTTCATATTGCTAAATACACACACACACACACACACACATATATATATATATGTGTGTGTGTATACAGCAGTGTGATCTTGCAACAGTATTGTCACTTGTTGAAGAGCCTGGTATCACACAGTATCAGGTAGCATGTTGTTTAACACACCAACACATTTTGATATCCCAAAGTAGCCTCTCTATTTGATGTGTTTTCACGTTTCTTTGAAATCCCTCATTGGTCGCATCGTCATCATTCAATAATCGGGCATTTCCAAGACTAACAATATTCATTTATTTGGGTGTTTCACCCTGAGATAGATCAGTCCTCAGGCAATGAAACTATAAAAGGAGCCACCCCCTCCCCCTTCCAATGAGCCAAAGTAGGTTAACCATAACACTGTGGAAGTCGGGTAAATATCACAGCATGCCAAGTCTTTAAACATCAAAAAGAAAGCGTTTGTCTGTGTGAACTTTTACAGGCCACTGATCATAGCTCCATACATTGAGCCAAAATTCAGCACGCTCACTTTGTGGGAATGGGATTTTCCACAGAAAAACATGTAGCCACTGACACAGCTCATGCAGTGGTTTGTCATCAGGGATAAACACACGGCAAGGATCAGTGTTATTACAGGGGGATCACATTATTGTGGTATCCGTGATTACGTGTAATCTTGTGACACACTAGGCTCTTGAATTTATGTACATGTATTGATGAATGTTGTCATTCTTTTCACTCTCACTGGCAGCTGTTTGATGATGGAGACTCACAAAGGAAATTCATCAAATACAATACAAAACTGTGAGGCCCTCAGATATGACATGCCTGTCCTATGGTGCTGCTGCTCCACATGCACGGCGCATTTATCGATGTGCAATGAATTCATCATGAATGCTCAGTCAAGGCAAACCATGGCCCAGAGCAGGCTATGGAACCCTCAGAAATGCATGTAAATAGCGTGACCTTAAACCAGGATAAAAATATGATTTGTTTAAAGAAGTGCATGACAAGGTGCCTTGGTACTTGAGTGGATTAGCACAACCCCCTGGGAAATCATCCATTTTCAGCTCTTGCACGGGTTTGAGTCTAATTGCCTGTAATGCTGTGATATCGTTCTTCTCTGTTCTTTTTGGGATCACCTCATCTTGGTTTTCATCTGAATATCAAGGTGATGAAGACAGATGAGATTTCTGTAAAGGTTTCCTCTTGGTAATGGAATCTTCCATCTTTAACCATCATTTACGTTTAATTTTTTGGGTGTTATTTGAAATTTACAATTAAACATTAGAAAATTCACATTGTTATTCATCACCATATGTAAGACTCACACTCCAAAGATAAATAGGGACATTTTATTTAAAATATGTACTGCAACACATCACTAAAAATGACGGTTCCTGTCGTCTCCTGTTACACTGAGGATGTACCTTTTAGGTGAGAACATCAATTCTAAATTTCTGTCACACAGTGTGGGCTTCCGCTCACCACGTACCTAGTAAAATGAGAATGTGATGTCTGTTTTAACCAACGTTTGAATCAAATTGATAACTTTGAATGATGATCGATCGTCATTATTCAGAATAAGGCAACTGTCTCATCAGCTATTTCAAATGTGTGATGGGCTGTGTATTGGGGCATATAAAAACACTTATTAAAAATTAGCACTGTACAACACATATGCTGCTCACATGACTGATATTAGGAGTGATCAGCTGTGATCAGCTCTCGGGGGAAAAAAAAAACGTAAAGGATGATGAGTACACACACATCTCACCTTAATTCCTGGAGACTCTTTTGTCTTTAAAAAGGCCACCACCACCTCTAGTCATATGCTTGTGGTTGTTACAACATGGTTACTGCCAAATGGGAAAAAAGCAAAGAGGAAAAAAGCATCTCATCAATCAAATACTCCTTGTCTTGTTAGAGGGTATTACTTTGACCGCTGTGGCATTCGCAATTCATAACTTCTGGTATGCCTTTTCTTTTTCGAAACATTGTTCCAATTTGAAATTATTCTTTTCTGAGAGTCCACAAAAATGTTATCTGTCATTATAAGTAGCCTTGGTTAGATCTTCATTTGACAAGCAGTATTCATCAATCCTGAGACCCAACTGCAGATGCCATGTCAAGGGAAAAAGAAGTGGGCACACTTCTGCATCATTCTACCTGTTACAGGAAATGCTGCAGCCACATAAGAACATCATCATTTGGTCACAGCACAGATGACAACACAGAGCTCTGCGGTTTTGACACAGCACACTGTTAGAGGTATAGCTGAAACAAGAATGATACTCAATTTAAGCATAATGGTTCGTTAATGAACTGAAGCTGAGGCAAAAAAGAAATAAGAACAATTAAAAATAACCCAGAGGTCAATAAGGCACGATGTACTGACCTCTGTGTCCATTGTGCGACAATGATAATGGTCTATTATCAAAGTGAGTCGCGTCAAGGCTCATTACAGTTAAGGCCAGCTTCAATATTGACCTGAATGCTAAATTTGCTTCAGTAAGACATAATGAAAGCAATAAGGCACAATCAAAGTACTTGCTGACAGACAGCCATAGCATGCCAAATACTGAGGCATCAATCATTCAGAACATCTATTAACAGGAGGGAAAAGGCTGGCTTTGTCATTTCAGGCAATAACTGGAAGTACATTTGTATAAGTAAATGTTTGACTCAGTGGGCGCAGGGGAATCAAATCTGTTTGTATTTGAGTCAAAACATTGTTTATGATATTGACCCCAGAGCCAGGACAGCAGTGAGATCCAGCTCCGACCGGTCTGCTTATTCTTCTCCATCTGGTCGATCTTCCACTGGAATCAGTAAATAAGAAGTTTCTCATTACGTTTTGCAAATAGTTCTTAGTGGAATCATTATTCTGTCAAACATCCAAAGGCTGATCATGTGAGGTCTGCTTACTGTTTACCTAAAGCTTTAGCCAAGACAAAAAAAATAGATCGGAAGCAGCAAAACTAAAATGAGTTGGGCTTCAACCAGCATGCTTTGAAAGGCTCAGACTTCACAGCTATGATGATGCAATTCCTTCTTTTCTCAACCACTCTCATTTTAATTCTCATTGTGATCTGTCTGCAACAAGGACACCACATCTAACCCAGAAAAAAAAACGCTAACACTAATTGCTCTAGATATTTTAACCTTGATAATTAAACCATCATCTCTTCAAGATCATGAATTTTGCTGATAAAAAAAATACTTGAATGAACAGCATATCTTAAAACTTCCCTGAGAAATGTGCACGGCTTCACAAACCCTGAACTCCAATCACCAAATCCTGGGCAGGATTTCATGCAATTCGCAAAGGCAAATGCATTCTTTTCACTATTGCCTCTCCTGAAATCTCCACATATGTGGATGAAAATGGCTGCTAAAATGGAGTTTCATCCTGACTTAGATGAGGTTCGGTTCCTTATTTCCTCCCTTTAGAGAGGGTTATGAAACATAACCATCCACCATGACTTTTAAATCCCACAGTCTAGCAATTCTCTGAACCCTCCTGCTTGTCTAAATAAACAAGTTGTGCTACTGATTAAACCCAAGGCGAATGAAATGAATCCATCATTAATTCACTGTTGAATCTATCTAAATCAAATTGAATTGGGAGGCTTGTCAAGGGATGGAAACCACAGCCACGCTAGAGGAAGCAGACCTGTGTCAAGGTTACAGGATTGGTCGACATGCCGTCAGGGTGTTCCACTGGATATGCACCGAAGGTACAATAAATGAGAATCAGAACATAGTTTGAGCTGCTTTGAAAAAATTGAATGTTTATGAGGAGTTTCCTTTGGGGATTTAGCTCTTGCACCAGAGGGAGGAGTGATTGCATGGGCTCTCGTCATTTTTTTTTTCCCCAATCCATTTTAAAGACTTCTCTGTCATATGTGATCCTTTCCCTCCATCATCTTGAGAAAGGAGATTAGAGCAGGATCTGAATACTCTGGAGCACTTTTTTCCTCTCTTTTTCTCTTCTTATAACCACTTCTCTTTGACCTTGATGCAGATACATTCTCAGGTCAGGAAAATGTGAGGCATAGAAAATGTGAGTTGGTTACAGATGACCACAGCATTGAGATAATTAATGAAGATGAAATGAACACTATGAAGTGACAAGAGTTTTCAAACGCAGTGACTAAGGTGTCATTGTACAGGAAGGACATTTTACATATTTCGGCAAAAAATCCTTTACTAGTGAATAAAAGGAAGTCTGCTGTAGATGTTTTTCACTCAAATCAGAATGATTATATTTAATCGTCAATCTTTTGCCTTTAAAAAATAATCCGAAAAAATCATTCAGTATTAAATTGAATTTTCATGTGAAAGAGCCTTCTGTACAATCTTTCATTCAACTTGGAGGAGGAGAGGAAAGTGAGAAAAAAAACTCAAAAGAAAAAACACTTCACAGAAGCATCAAAACTTTTTTTCTCCCTTATGTGTAGATGCAATCCTTTTGTTTAATCCATCTTCATGCTGAGTTCACAAAGCTGCTACATCATGCGCACAATCGCTGGATTTATCAGCTCCTCCATGTTAGAGGTGTTTGGCAGCACAAAGGGCTGTGCTTTTCATGGAGAACCACTGGTTTTAGAGGACCTAATCAACTCGTTTCAGGGAAAAGCCAGACTATACTGCCCTGTGACACAAAACAATCCTTTAACTAACACAATGTGATGATGTTCTAAATACCTGCTTCAATAAGACGTTCTTTACTTGACAAACTAAAGGCGTTACAGTGAAGGGTTTCTTTTTATGGGTTAATTTCAAAACTTTAAATCTTCATTAACATTTTTTAATCTGCATTCATTGGTTAAATGAGCTATTTTTAATATATTTTGTAGATGAATGGTAACATTCAGTCAGACTGCAGGAAGCTTATTGTCATCCCAATGTTATCACTGTAAACCACATGTACCAGAAAATAGAAATCTCACAACAAGGGGATTAAAGATTCTAAAATCAGTAAAAGAGCTCCTACATTCAGTCATGCTTCTGCCTGCCTTTAAAAACATTAATCACCTTTATTTGATGCTGTCACACATGCTCAAACATTTTAAAATGACATTTTTGAAGGCTCCAAAAAACATCACATGCCAACCTTTTATGCAACTGTAACATGGTCAAAACACATAAAAGTGTAAAAGCAGAATGGAGTAAATGGTGCCCTTACACTGTGGACGTTCCTACAGTAACTACATTTTCTACAGTTCAAGTCTAACCTGACATAACACTGAGGAACGCCTATGGTCCATATGAATGGATGAATGTTTAGAAGTATTCATCATGTTGTCCAAAGGGTTTTCGCACAAAACAGCAGGGAATGGAAAACGTGACCGTCTCAGTTTCTGCAGATTTCCTGAGACTCCTGAGACCGAACTTGCCTTATAGTGCATCCAACGTACCGTTATATACTGCGGGAATAGATTAAAGTGGATGCACTATAAAACAATACAGAGCTAGTTCAATATCTCCAGCTAATAATTTTTTTTATATGCTTTATTTTGCACGGAGAAGAAACTGCTTGGTCCCAAGGGAAATTATCTACATTTATTCACATGTCCAAAACATTAAAATGCAATTAATTAATCAGCTCTGAGGCCTGTTTTTTCTTAACACCAGTCTTACGACTTACGAGTGAGAGGTCCTTGGATGATAGTGGATTAGATGAGGTTCACAACATATTTTATGGTGTCAGTTCTTTGCATAACACCACTTAGGTTCTTATACAAATCGTAGCTGTGCAATATCTATCTTCAGAAAGTTTCAGATAATTCAAAATACTAGATGTCACAATTATAAAAGGTTTTTGGAGGCCATAGAGTGTTTTTCAACATTTTCTTAGCACTAATTGTAACTAAGTATGTGTTATACCATGGACCAACATTACTATTGAATATTCTGGTTTGAGACCACGTTGAAAGGAAGTAAAATAAGGCATCAAGATGAATTTGATATGTGAGCCCCGCCGGAGACTCCAGTACATCTGACAACCACTATAAGATCTTCATCTTCCGGCAGCTTTGCAGAAAAGTCTTCCAACTTTTCCTCAGGAGCCTTTGCTCTGCTGGTCTTGGCTCTACAATATGTTTTCTTTCATTGTCTCTCTGAAAAGCCATAATCTGTTTTCTTGAGTCCAGATCTCTAAGCTCTAACCCTGTCTTTCCCTAATCTTCCAAACACAAAAGTAAAGCAGTGGCTATTTTCTCCCACTTTTAGCAGCTGCTCCTCCCACCTACAGCTCCAGGACCCTGCACTTTGCTATCAGCGCGATTTGAAGACCCAAAGTGAGGAGACACAGCACAGCAGGAGAAAATTGACTGTGTCAGTGGCAGAAACAGAATTGAACAACACGGCACCTTCTGAATTAAAGAGACTTCAAAAATAAGATTTTAAAAGCAAATCCTAATAAATGATATTGCTTTAAGATGAAGATGCTGTTCTGATTGTTGTGATTGAGTGCTTATTAGTTGTCCATTGCTTTTGCGCATAATGGTAAAAACACATGTTTTGTCAGGACATCAAATGAGAATACATGCTTGCTCTGGGAGCCTACCTTGCTCTGGGAGCCTAATAAGTTGCAGAGAAGTTGAATTCATCACTTAGAGGTGCACATAAACAGAAAAAGTCTCAAACAAAACAAACAATTTCTGATGTATGGTTTTCATCAGATATTTCCTTGTATTGTTGTGAGTTGAACTAAACCCCACGTCACGCTGGATGTTTGCATTTCACAGCCCTTGCAGGGAAAAAAAAGAAAAGCCAGGAAACAAAGCAGAATAAATTATATGCTTCCAGCTGGATTTGACGTTATTTATCTGCCATGCTCCTAGTTGGAGTCTTGGAGATTCCCCTGTCAATTCAAAGGAGGACGACTTCCAGAGGAAAGTGTTTTACATAAATGAAATGCAACTTTAAACGGAGAGTAACTCATTCATGTGTCTAAGAAAATCATGAAATATTAGAGGGAAATGGATTCTTCATGTGTGTGGGAGGTGCTGTGTACATACATTTGTACATTTGTTTGACAGAGAAGTTTTATTCATTGGGCAAACTTTATGATCTGGAAATTATCTCAGTTCAAAATGATTAAAAGGCCAGGTCTCTGTGTGCAACTGCTGTTCCAAAAATAGGCTGTAGTATATACTGTGCTGTCAGTCAAAGAGCCAAGACGTTAACGAGCAACATCAAGAATGTCTCCGCCATGTGACCTTGGTCTTTCCCAACAACCTTTGTTGACAAAGCTGATATGACATTTTGAGTGTCTTGGGTTATTCTTTGAATGAGAGTTCAATCAGCACATCATTAATGGGTTTGGAATGGGGCCAGTCATTCATGACACTGTGCTTTATAGCTTTGCCAGAAATCTCTGTGCTGAAATGAGAAGGTTGTAGATATTTTCTATGGAGCTATTTCCTGACCAGAGGGTGCCTTTGATTAATGGCTTTTTCCCAGCAAAGCCATTTAGGTAATCCAAAAGAATAATCTCCTCTGTCTTTGAAACCTTAAACTGAGCACATTGACCAGGGCTGGCTGTCTCCTCCTTGTCAATTACCAGGCTAATTAGTATTTATGGTTTTTGTCAGCCAAGATGATTTCAGTCATTGTTTTTGCCTTTTTGCTCTTGCTTTGAATTTGCATTTCTTGCAATTTTAAGAAACTTAAGAGCCTTTCGGTGCACCTGCAGCACAATAGGCCCATGTATGAATGTGTTCTAGATAGGCCACAGTCTCCAAAGAGGGTGTTTTGCATGATTATATTTATTCAACTCTAGCTCATCCAACAAAAGAAATTCAGAGTCATATTGATCACAGGCTCGGTTTTAATAGTCAACAAAATAATTTTTTTATCAAGTGAGGATCATTTTTACACTTGAGATAGCCCCAATGTTGACTGATCCTGATTTGTATGTACTCAGGTTATTATTTTCTGTTTATTGCTCTTGAACTTCCTACCTTCCATCACTCTCCTGACTGCTGTAAAGTTTTATGATATATAAAAAAAGTCAGTAAGTAAATATAATTGCTTCCCTTCAAAGCCTGTTGAGTGTTCTCTTGACTCAGATCTAGCAGGCATTGCCTGGGAGACTGAGCTCTGCACCACAAGTGTTAACGCCAATTAAACCCCTGACACCACCCTGTCATTCTCCGCATTCTGTGACATATGAGTGATAACACAGACCCTTACCTAAAGCTCTCATCTGACACACATTAAATGGCACTAGAACCTTGCATTTCCTGACATTTTACGGGGAATCGATTGCAATTTAATCAGCGTGAGCATTCTGCTATCAGCCACACTTACAACAGATGCTTTTTTTCTTTTTCTTTTTTTTTCCGTTAACTGGACTAAGCGCTTTTTCTTGAAAAAAGATTTACAGCTATTTCAAATTCTGACAACACAAATCTATCATTAAATCAACCATAAAAGAGCTCAAGAAAAGATCACAGCATCAAAGTTGATAATAATAATCACAGATTTGATGTTCCTGTGAGAGCATATTTCCATTCAATTTGCACGCTCTTAGATTTATTGTCTATTTTGAACACTCATTACACCCCTTCCCCCCCTCCTTCCCTCTTTCTCTCTCCATCTAACTCCTTGTGTCTCTCCCTCTATTTTTTTCTCTTTCCCCCTGGTGGTAAGTGCAATAATTATCCTATTATCCTTTGAAGTCTTCATAAAACCAAGGCCCCAAAACAATCCCCAAATATGTGAATACATCATCTTTTGAAGTATTTGGGGTCCTACAAGGTAGCCAGCAGCTGGAATATTCTATCTTTACAAAAGATAACCCCTCAAAAAGCCTTGTTTTACACAATAAAAGCCATAGGGCTTGTCTTCTCAAGGAGCCCAACAGATACTTCAATCTTTTGTTTGAGCAAAGGTGTTTGGAGGCCAAGTTGTACTTTAAAAAATCTATAATTTCTTAGCAAAGTGTGCCAATTGAAACCTTATAACACAACCATTTTTTACTAAAGAGGCCAGACAAATGCACACAAATGCCTCAAGGTAAGTACAAATAGAGTCTATAGAGCTCAGTTCAGAGATTAACAAACCGAGCTTTCAAAGCATGCTTGGTACCAGTTTCTAAATGACTTAATGGGAAGATAATGACTCGAAAATGAAAATTTGCCTCTATTTTCAGAAAACCAGGAGTTGGATTGCCGGCTGCAGATCCTCACCCATGTGAGAGCACACGCAGACGCACATTATTATCCTCTCATCCTTTGAATTTGTAATTAAGCATGCACAGACCGTCATCTTATAGAGATAATTCAGGGAAGATGAATGCGGCAGCACATGTTCCTATTTCTATTCATGTCAGATGAAATATTGATTACGAATGGCAGCAAGAATTCTGCGCTATTAATTTGAACAACATCTCACAAATATGCACTCTCACCTTAATTGAGTAAAGACATTAAAAACATCTGTGATGTGCATTGGTCTGCACAGGTCCTCCTTGCCACTAGGTACTTCTCGGGGTTGCTGCCTAAGGCTATACAAGTATGAGCTGAAAATGAAAGCAACTCTATAACCGTTTGGATGCTGGCTGGTCTGATAACCATGATAGAAATACTCGTGCTGTTTATGTCGTCCCCGCTACAGCTCTTCCCTGCTTTCTAACTAGATCCACATGTAAGCAAGAGAGGTGATGGTCAGCTGAATGATCATCGCTGGTGCGGAACGCGGCTGTAATACCAAGCAGCAGCAAACACATGTTGATACAGACATGCAGACATGCACACAGTCTAGTCCCTGACATACGGAACTACACTGCCAGGCAGCATGACACTACATCCATGCTGTGAGCTAATTATAATGTGTAAATAAATGAATAACACACAATGTTTCCCATTACTAAATAAATGCGAATAAATAAAACACATGCGGCCCCATAACTTATTAATTCACACCATCAACACAATCTAAGTTGGATAGCATCAGGGCTGCAAATGATCAGGCAAAAGATGTGTGAGCCAAGACTGTCATTAAAGGCACAATGTGTGTTACCGTGGCAACATCATAGAGGCCTCCATCTTTTTAATGTTGTGGTTAGGAACAAACGACATTGCATCCAATCCCCACGTGAATTAAAGGCACATTGCTAAATAAAGCTCAAGTACCCTGCTGCCACACTTTTGCAATCGCTGTTTTTCTCTTCTCTGCAGGGAATTCTGTTACAACCTGTTTCTGTGGGGTAAAACAGGGAAAGTGTCAACACTTGACAATCAAAGTAGCTCTCTTTTTTGCCAGAATTTAATTTTGAAACAATTACTACAAGCACAAAGTGGCAAATCCGTCGGATCTCTATTGTCACACGTCTGTGTGATAATAATTGAACCGCACATTGCTTCTGTGTCAGTTGACTTCTTTACTGAGTGAATTTCAATTTCATTCAATGTCTTTCATTCATCTGGGTATAATGTAAGTAAGTCTAAATCCCTGCTCTGCTCCATTTTGTACAAAAATGACCTCTATGACCAAGATAATTGCCTTCACTCTAAAGTCACCAGCGTTAAAGATAAAACCCGTGAGATCTCTGCATCAGATTAGAAGTGTGGTTTCTGTACTCTTCTGTGACCTGTACCACAGAATTTCAAACTCATATGATGTTATTTTCATCTCACTTTCAGTCTTATTTGCTTATTCATTAGAATTTGATTTGTTGTCTAAAAGAGAAAGTTGTCTTTGATTTAGAGGAGAGGCTTTTCAGCATGAGGAGCCTAGATAAGATGGTCCTAGTATTTAATTAAGAGGGAAGGAAGCCCTTCTAGTATCTGGGTACATCCAGGCAACTCACAGCAATTGACCTTTGTGAACATGTCAAGACTTTATCTTGCTCTCATCAGCCCAAGGCAGGAGTTGTCAAGACAGTAAATAGCTGCTCTCTCATACAACCTTTGATTTCTACAACTTGAGAATGGTCGGTTATTCTTGTGTTTGGGATGTTAATTTTCAGCCAACTGAGGAAATATGATTTTCCTCACTGTAGTGCTTCTCCAATACCCATGTGCTAATTAAACCATACCACATTTTTAAATGCTCAACCACATTAACTCTGAGATGTGATTTGCTTCAAAATATATGTGACGGTATCAAATGAAATAGGTGAGAAATCGTTCATGTCTTTTAAATCAAGTTAAGAGGGTATTTTTCCCCAGGTGTGCTACCAAAGAATAGCAGGCACACACTGAAATTAAAGGCTGTGTGCATTGTTCCAATGGAAGAACAGAGGTTTTCTCCAAATAATGACATAAGGATTTGCCCAATCACGTGACACTTTTTGGATTTTGTCCATCTTTAAGTAATGACTCCTGTATTTTTAAATCATTCTCTCAAAATGTGGTGTAATAAAACCATATGATTGTCTATGACGGGGATTAACAAAAGAGGACAGAGAGGGGAGGGAGAGACAGAGAGAGAGAGAGAAAGAGAGAGAGAGAGAAAGGGAGAGAGAAAGGGAGAGCCACAGAAGTCTTTCTTGAGTCAACAGTGCCACCTTGAGGTTTGTGGTGAGATTGCATGTTTGTTCTGCTCTGTTGAGACGGATGCGAAGTGGCCATTCAAAAGTTATACATAAAGAAATGGAAATATTCTTCAATGTAGAATAAATATATGAGGGAGGTCAGATCCAGTCAACATCAAACACAAAAACCCTCAGACTTCTGTAAAGCTGCACTCATTAGCTCACTTTATATATTTCACAAAAAAAACCTTTTCCAATATGTCAGAGTTCTACTCTGACTATGACTGTTGTAGTAATTACCTTTCAGCTCTAAATGATGAATATGAATGTCATTTTCTCTCTAAAACAAATCATACATTGGTTTGACATACTGCTGAAGTGGCCTTGCTTTTCTACATAGATCAAAACACATGAAAACATGTCAATAGTTCTTATTGTTCATGTTGTCATCAAGCTTTTCTTATTCTTTTATATAGTGATTATATGAAATGCCAGTGTCATTAGCTGGCTGACATTGCACTGAAATTCCCCAAAGTTTTGCAACTGAATTAAACAGATGTTGATAAATGTACGGCTATCAGATTGTAATATGTAAAAGAGAGAGAGACATATATATATATCCACCCAGAGACTGATGGACCACCAGGGGTCATCAGAGTATTTCAGATGAGACAATCCGAGAAAGCTCGACATATTTTTTCCCCCTTTCATTCAATTTCATGAAATCAGATATCTGCCCTCACATCATATACACATTATTATAAGTGCATAGAATAAGAGAAAGATAAATGGATTGAACAAGTGGAGCATCAGGAAGAACATAGAAACTTGGCAAATATAATTAATACAACGCTCCACACATGCATAAGACATCTCTGTTCTTTACCAAGTCGTGAGAAGAGGGTAGGTGGCAGCAGGGATCTAATAAAGTCCGTGAACACTGAGATAAACAGGTTGGAGGAGTTCAGGGTGGAGTGAGGACAGGGTTCGCTGGCATACAGGGGAACTCTATGCAGTCCAAGGTGGTGCATTCATTTGCTTTGAGTGAAAACATTTGTTATGAATATTAACCTAGTAAGAGACTAACCAGTAGTCTGCGTTTGAATCGGTACAACTTGATTAACTGTAATTGTGTGAAATTATAAGGGAAAACTTGCATGCGCATGTCCTTATTACCATTATTAGTGCTGACTGCCGTACAGGGAGCTGCCTTCAGCCCCGTGGGAGTCTTGCTGAGCGTGTGAGAGACGTCAGCCATGATGCCTGACCATGTAAGCAACAGATTTTTCTCCCTCACCTTCTCGGGGGTGGCAACACTTACCTTCTGAGACATCTATTCAGACTGCCTGTTGTTAATATTGGATCCATGGCTGATTTTCACGCCCTGTAACTTATTGCCCCCGTCATTTCGCTGACCCCCCAGTACATTATCTAATGATGATGAAGTGTGTCAGGCCATCTGCAACACCCTGCCCCCAATGACCAAGGTGTCTTGTCACTTGCTTTGATTTGACCTTTACAACTTCCATCTGACTATCATAAGAAAAAAAAAGAAAGAATTCCAATCAACTACACAGGTAATTTGTCCCAAGGCTGACAGACTATATTATATCTTAAGTGGGACAGTGTTTAACCCATCAAGTCTCCTATAAGTGCATAAATCTCCATAAATCTCTGACAAGTCTATCCTTACACCAATACTTGAGCCTCTTGTGAAAATGCTGTGCTGTATAAGCATTTCAAGAAGGCATAAGACATAGAAGATATGATTTCTAACCCGTGATTACTTTCCTTTTCTCCTGCTGTTTTGTAGTATGCCAATAAACATGAAATATCAATTGCTATTTTATTCGATTAATTTCTTTGTTTATCTTTTAGTTTCATCTTGTGGTTGAAGTGCAGGTTTTGCTGAGTATAAATAGGTGTGCAGTCTTTGGAAAAATAGCATTAATCTTGAAAAGTCCCTAAAAGATTACATGTCAGTACTGTGTAATGTGGATTAATAATAGGCATCCAAACAATCCATTTGAATTATTCTATGAAACATGGACTGTTGTAAGGTATTACCTAAATACTCCACCAGTAATGTGGAAAGCTTTCATTCAATTCCTATCTTTGTGATGGGTACAATTGGTACAGTATACAAACGCCTAAAAAGAAAACCTAGAACAATGCAGGAGATTGTTTTTTTCAAAAAGCTCAGGCTTGTCGACTTGTTCGTATTTTTAGATCATGTATGATGTAACAAAAGTCTGTCAGAGCCCTCCTGGTAGACAATGGCTGTGCAGTTTACCCAGGCTGACTGTGTTTGGATGCTCCAGCTGGACTCAAATTGACGAAGTACAACATGCCATCTACATAGAACATAAATCAAAAGTACTACCCATCACCCTCCGTGGCATGGCTCCAACTCCATTTCTGCATTTCTGACCTTGAAACACACAATTGTTTGCCATTGTTTTCTCTCGGTCACTTGTTATGATTTTTCCTTTTATGTGTGTGTGTTTTTGTGGGTGTGTGTAGCATGCAGCATGCTGCTTTCTGCTCCCAGTTGGTGAAGATTATGTTCAGTGTCATGGAAGACTTGGAGAGATATTAAATGAGGCTCATATCATGCATCGCCTGTGTGAACCTCACTCTCCCTCTGCACATTGTGACCATGGATGGAAATAAATTGTGTTGCTGACATAGGAAAACATAAGTATTTGCATAAACAAATTCAAACACACAAGTCTCATCCATATTTGAGAGAATAATATAACGAGAAAATACCTCTGTCCTGTCTGTGATTGTCAGTGCAATTAGATTAAAGCCAGATGATAAATATGCTTATCACATTACAACAAACACAAGTGCTAATTTGTGCAGGAGTCGCGTTATAATGATGGAGTTATAATGATACTGTACCCGATATGATGCCCAATCCTGGGAACAAAACCTCTGAGGGCAAAGAAAACAGAAGCACAAATGAATTGCATGCAAATGAACACAGGATTCATACACATTAATATGTGCCACAGGCAGTGTCCCTGATGTGCATGCTCTCCTCCCATGTGAGCTAGAGCCAAGTGGAGAGGATGATGGATATGGTTCCACAAGGATACAGTAGTAAGCAACGATACTTGACGTGTTTCTGCATGAGTGCCAACGCATCAGGCCGAAAAGGGCATGAGGAGGTCTTTTTCTTTACGTTTTGCGTTGCCTCTAAACCAAAAAAACTTTTAGTATGCAACATTTGCCACAAGTCGAGATCAGACAAATTTGATTGAGCCAAATGAATAATTCATTTAGTATATATTCCTAGGTGAGAACTCACTCTAACACTGTTTGGTTTTCATTAAAACCAGGTGATAACACATTCAGTGAGGACAATGAGTCACTCTCTGACTCATAGCTTACCATTTAGTATAAACAGACAGTCTAATTTTCCAATAGTGAAGAGCTGTGCTCTTCATCCCTATGCTTTTCTTACCATGTTTAATGATATATATCCTATAATGCTACAATGCATGTGTGTTCATGCATTATACAGAGGGTGGCATGCTTCCTCCCTCAGGACATTCTGTATAAAGACTTAAATGCCGCTTCTCTGAAGCTGAAGCATCAGATGAAACTCCCTAGATGTTTGGAAACGTTTGGTACACACAAAAAAAAAAGATAACTATTTGAACCCATATTTTAAACCCAAGTACAGCTGACCTCTAACTGACAGATGACATGGGCTGAGAGATGAAAGATGCACCTGCAGGGCACCTTACCTTCAATGTATGTTTCAGAGTGAGATGTCCAAATAGAATAGAGAGGAAAGGACCAGACAGGTGCCCTCTGGGCACTTAACATACCAGGACTGGCACATCACAGAGCGCTGATGCAACTTGGCGGAGGTATGGTTTTGTTTTCTGCTTGAGTGACATGATGCGCGGGTCTGCAGCGCGGGGGAAGGCCACGGTCCGGTAAATCATTGATATTTTCTGGGACATCTTTTTAGTAGGTAGGTCAACATCTTTTGGGGGGATGTATCTCGGCATGATGCTCCAGTGAGCTGATTGTTTGTGCATGAAATGACTTGACATCCTCCCCAACCAACGAGTGAGCGCGCGTTTGCGCGAGCGTCCACGAAGCCAGAATGAGATGCGGGAGGAGGAGGAGGGGGGCGGGGGGTGGAGGGTGTGAGATAGTGGGAGATGGAAACAGAAGAGAGAATAAGCAACTTTGTAACCAGCCATAGCTGTGTCTCCTCCGGCACAGGGCGGTGAAAGAGAAGCTTTTGGCAGTTATGGTTGATCAGCGTTTCTTTCATCCTCTCTCGTGCGTCAGTGGCGACAAGCGCGCTCATGTAAAATAGATCCCGCTTCCTTCTTCGTTTTGACGGATTAAAAATATGAGATGAGATGCCAAACGAGCCTGCATATTCATCAATGTGCGTGAGGTATGTATTAACTGCAGGAGTTCGACGGTAATGATAGAAGGCTGTCTAATCTCTAGCGCTAACCGTCTGTAATTTACAAAGCCTCCATTCAAGACAAGTGTCTAATTACATTTTTACTTCTGAATTAGAAATGCGATGTGGCTTCCGCGCACGCTTTAGACCTTTTGTTTCGTTCTTAAGTATTGCTCTGACCTTCCTTTTTGTTCCGTCCATCGCTTTGAGGAGTTGTTTTGTTGGTGCTGGCTTAATTCAGCAGCCACACAGCGAAGTTACCTCTGGGTCGCAGCAAATGAACCTTTGACTCGGGAGCTTCTGGTGTGAAAGTTGATTTCAGTGCAGCCTTTTACATCACAACATGTCTCTTTCCTTTTTTTTCTTTTTCTTTTTTATTCTAGATGACATTGAGGATACCTTAGCAGGAGTGTGAGCTTGGCCGTCATTTGCAGGAAAATGCAGCTTTGGATGCCGTATGTTTTGTTAAGTGCAACATCAGTGTGCACTGTTCAGATGTCTGGCAATTATGGAGAAATATGTCAAGGACTGTGTGCCTGTGAGGAGAGGGAAGGTATACTTACAGTGGGCTGTGAAAACAGAGGAATTGCAAGTCTGTCAAACATAAGCCCAGTGCACTTCTCCCAGTATCACCTGCTCCTTACTGGGAATCTTTTGAAAAAGCTGTCTGCCGATGATTTTGTTGATTACGATGGACTTACAATATTGCATCTGGGAAATAATGAACTAACTGATGTTGAAGCTGGAGCTTTTAATGGACTTCATGGATTAAAACGACTGCATCTCAACAATAACAAAATCGATGCCTTGAAGGAAGAGTTTTTCTTTGGCCTTGAAAGTCTGGAATATCTACAAATTGATTATAATTACATCACTCATGTGGAACCAAATGCCTTCAACAGAATTCGACATCTTGAGGTTCTCATTTTGAATGACAATCTGATATCCAGTCTGCCTGTAAATATTTTCAAGCATGTCCCATTGACTCATTTGGACTTAAGGGGAAATCAGCTCAAAGTGCTTCCCTACACAGGTCTTTTAGAGCACATGAACAGTGTAGTTGAGTTGCAGCTTGAAGAGAATCCGTGGAACTGCTCCTGTGAGTTGATTGCTCTCAAAACCTGGCTTGAAAGCATATCATACACAGCTTTGGTCGGTGATGTTGTTTGCGAGTTCCCCTTTCGGCTTCATGGGAGAGACCTCGATGAGGTTTCAAAACAAGAGTTGTGCCCAAGGAGAGCTATCGCTGAATACGAAATGCCACCCCTGCCACATTTGAGCACCGATGCATACTATAGGACCACGCCAGCTCTAATTGCAGCCTCATTCACTTCATCGGGAATTGGAAGATCTTCATCGAGACCCACTAAAGGACCTCGCCAGTCAGCCAAATTAAAATCAAGACCCACATCTCGCGCTGCATCAAACAAACCACAGAATTTTGGTCAGATAGTTTCATTTCAGACCAAATCTCCTGTGCCTTTAGATTGCCCAACTGCCTGCACGTGTAATCTGCAAATTTCAGACCTTGGCCTGAATGTGAACTGTCAGGAGCGAAAGATAGAACAGATCTCTGACTTGAATCCTAAACCTTACAATCCCAAAAAAATGTATCTCACAGGGAATTACATTCCTGTGGTACGTAGAACAGATTTTACTGAGGCAACCGGATTAGATCTGCTTCACCTTGGTAACAATCGAATAGCTCGTGTCCAGGACAGAGCCTTTGGCGATTTGACAAATCTACGAAGACTATACCTTAATGGAAATTTGATAGACCGTCTTACCGCTGGTATGTTTTATGGTTTAGACAGCCTACAGTTCTTATATTTAGAATACAATGTCATCAAAGAGGTTACTACTGACACCTTTGAACACGTTCCCAAACTTCAGCTTCTTTTCTTAAATAATAACCTCTTGAAAACTTTACCTGAGGGTACATTCAATGGTTTAACCTTAGCCAGACTAAACCTTCGTAACAACCATCTCCGATATCTCCCGGTCAGTGGTGTACTGGATCAGTTGACAGCGCTTGTGCAAGTTGATTTGTATGAGAATCCCTGGGATTGCTCTTGTAGCATATTGGATTTAAAGATGTGGTTAGAGCAGCTTAGCACTGGCACAGTTGTAAACAATGTTATCTGTGGCTCCCCTAAGAGGCTGGCTGGGGAGGACATGAGATACATTAAGACAACTAATTTCTGCCCTAATAACTCTGATACACTTGCCTCCATGATTCCACCCTCTGAAGAATCTTTTCCTGGAAGCACAATAACTATAGAGACGTCCTTAGACTCTGACACTCAGCTCACTACCATTCCTTTATCTGTGATGATACTTGCCCTTCTCCTCATGTTCATTATATCTGTGTTTGTGGCTGCTGGACTGTTTGTTGCAACGAAAAAGAGACGACAAAAGAGTCAAAATGAGCAGAATAACACAATGAACGCTTGCATTAGCTCCCTTAACATGGAATATGGCCTTTACAAAAAGGGATCCAATCCCAAAGTGAGAACATCAGCTGGACATGTGTATGAGTATATCCCTGCCCCGACAGAATCCACATGTCGAACTGCTGCCCACACACCGATGGACAACAAATCAGTGGATGGATTTAGAGACTTTGATGAGTTGAGCGGCGCTTTTCTGGGCAACTCGGATGAAGAGGCAGCCAGTAATATGATAAGCTCGGAATATAGCGCTTCTACTCCAGATCCTCTCAACAAGCCCTCTACCCCTCACCAAGATGATCCATCGTGCTGCTACAGTGATGCACTAGAGCCTGACAAGAACAGACGGTACAGCAATACAGTACCTTGCAGGCACGGAGCACATTCATCAAATCGCTATACCTCAGACTTTGATGCAAGGCATCAATATACGCACCCAGAAAGAATACAACAGACAATACTATATTGCGCAGCACCAAGTACTGTTTATGTGGAGCCTAACAGAAGTGAGTACTGGGAACTAAAAGCAAAACTTCACATTGACCCAGACTACCTTGAGGTTCTTGAGAAACGAACTACTTTCACCCAGTTTTAAGGGACTAGGCCTCATGCTGGTCACATTTTGTTTATGTATACATTTTAATCAGGAATTTCAAGATGTTCAAAAATGCTACAATATAACAATTTGGTTAACTCAGCTCTAAACATCGTGAGCCATTTTATGCATTTCTGGGGTATTGCATTACAGAAATGAATCATAAAGGTCACATATTTTAAAGTACCACTTAAGATTTGAATGTGGTTTAACAGTGTGGCTTTAATGTGGTTTTAATTATAAATATGAACAAGTAACCACTGATTCAGGTCTCTAATGACTCATCCTAACATCCAATTTGTCCTGGAGCTGTGTCATTGACAGTAATGTGAGACTGAGCTTTAACGCTCAGATCATTAACTTTTAATGAGCCATGCTCTTTCCCTAAAATAAATCTCTTTGTAAAACTGTTTTTTTTATTAAAGGTACATGTATGGCTTTAAGTTATTTAACTGATATGTTTTAACCAGTTCAATTTAGTAGATTTATCTCTCACATTAAAGCTGACCTGAATTTACCTGCAGAGAAGTCACATCAGCTTAATATTATTTTGGTTATCCTATTCCAATAAAGATAACAATGTTGGACGCATTAATTGGAAGCATATCCTCCCATCTGGACAACTCTCTGGTAATAATAAACATACATGCAATTATTATTACCAGAGAGATCATTTAAAGGAATCTCAAAATTACAGATTAATGAAGATTAAATGTTGTCTCATCTTAAAATTTGGGAGATAACGATGATACCGAACAATATCATAAAAAGAGATAATGAATTGGATGAGTGCCTATCCTCCAGAAAAACAGTGTTGATTTCATAGTACCTTCCTGTGACTGTGGGACCTGGACAGATAATGCTTTTTTCAGTGTTGGAGTGAAAAGATTTGTATTGTTTTCAGATGTGTTGTAATTGAAGGAAAGTTCCTTGTACCTGTAACTCTAATGTGTCTATAACAAATGTGTACAAATGCAGTCCCTGTCATTATACATAAACATGTACTTTTATCTTTCATTATGTTCTTGTACTAACACCAAAGCAGTGTACAAAAGAAAAAAAGGGGATATGCAAACTTTAACTCCCTGAGGGATACATCAAACACAGCCCTGTGAATAATTTCACTTGTACATCATACTCTCCATTCTATATTCTGTATTTGTTATTACATGTCAAATTTAGGTTTGAACACATCTAATAATATTTACTATAAAACAATATTTTAAGCGGCTCAGTCTTACATAGAGGCAGGTATTAAACCTGTCGGTCCGATACAGAGCTCCATGTCAGTGTCATGTTTTGCCTCGCTAAATGTATGAAACTGTATACTTGTCAAAGTGGGTGATATAGTACAGTTACACAAAGTAGTAAAAAAAGAGAAAATACATCTTCCACTTAAAACCAAGACCCAGCCTTTAAGTTAAAATTATATGGGCTGACACACATTTTTTTACATTTATAGACAAATAGTGTCGCTTGTACAGAGAGAAAAAAGCCTCTTGCTGGTGATTTTAACACAAACTAGACAATGTGAACAAGCACATTTCTGCCTCGGATTCCAACACTTCAAGCGTAAATCTTTCTATTAACGCTGAACATCATATTCCTATTCTGAACTTAATTTGACCATGTAATATTTGGTTTTTAACCAGTTCTTTCTGCGCATAAATTAATTCAGATCAGAACACTGCCATGTTTATTCGTATCAAGTAGCTGGAGGTGACGCTTCCCAATGGTAAGACCAAGCTTGAGTCTAATTTTTATAGATACTTATTACCTTCAACCCTCCTTTATCTAGCACGTGAATTGGGAAGAATGAAATTGGCAGGTGGATTTTTGTGCACCATTTTATTTTGCAATGAAACTAAGATGCCAAACACGACTCTGAGCCAAGCCATATTCTTCCTTCATTATTTAACCACATCAATTTGTTTGAAATTCAGGTGAGAACCTGTGAAAATTCTTGGCCACAGGTCCATGTAAACCTATGTTGAATAAGTGCATACTTTTGTAAAACAAAAAAGAATAAGTGAGTTCTGTTCTTGTATTGATTTTTTTTAACTTTTACATAGAAAAAATGCACTACTGACTTCTGCTAGTCAACAATGATGTCACTTTTGTAATGCAAAATATTGTAACATTCATCTATATATATATCTATATACTGTAGATATATATATATATACAGCCATAGAATAGGCTTGATCAATGCATAAAAAGGGGTTACATACAGTATGTTAAAAAAATATTGCACTATGCATAGACATAGATCATATTTAGACAATCTGTACGACTAGCCACCGCTTCTACATCTGTCACCACCCAGTTCTCATATAATTGATTGTCAAAATATACCCATTATTCAACTGCTCTCCTGAAATTTAGCACATGGTATTTTGTGCCATATAATTGATGCTTAATTTATTTCAAAATCCATATATTGTAGTTACAAGTGCTTCAAGGGGAACACAAAGGGAGATTGATATGTAATGCATGAAGAGAAACTACAATCTTATTATTTGTCATTGTTTAATCACATGTTCAGTCCTTGATGGTATGAAGTCTACTGACCCAATCAGTAAAGTAAGTTTACTTTTTTACGTGGGCATGAGTGGATAACGTAACATATTTACTCAGATCTGTAAAAGTCTGTAGTTTGAAAAGCACAATAGATGGCTGCAAAAGTTACATGGGTATAGCAAATTTTGTGTTTAGACATATTCTGTGCCATCAAATTATTAAGCACATTATCCAATCACAATGCAATGAAGCCAAATGTCTGGCTTAATAGTTTAAGCCAAGACAAGACTATCCTGAGAGTCAAATACACAGAGTAAATTCTCCCCAAATGTATGATGTCCCAGACTAATCATCCTAACTAATCCCATTGGTGGAATTTGTGATATTGGACCCTATGGCCGAGTATTTCTCTGCTGTAAGACTAATGCAGCAGGAAATCATCCTAGATTGCATCATCGAGGATGAAATTTTGGTTTGTTGCCTTTTACATGGTTTGAGTGAATTTGTGATGGCATGACCTTTCTGCCATTTAGATTTTTCATCGGGTCAGATTAAATGTACCATCACAGTGATGCATGGTGTTTCCTTCTACAGGTTTGGTTTCAATCAATATATTGTTGTGAAGTTAGCGGTGAAAACACTTTATACCTGCAGATATCCACAGACTGGTGCACATCTTCAGGTATTGAATTCTTTCAAAATCAAGAAAACAAAGAAAGAAAGATTTTTTTTTTTTTTTTGGGGGGGGGGGTTAAAGTTTTTTTGTGTTTTGATTTTGGCAAATGTTGAAAGTGTAATTTCAAAGACTTTGGAAAGTGTTTACTGTATATAACAGCAAATTATATTATGTTCCAGACAGATTGTTGCCATCATCTACATCTTCATATGACATCTTCACCATCTTTCATATAAAGCAGTGACTCTCAGTGTTGAACTCTGATTTGTAAATAGAACAACTTCATCAGCATTTTCATTTTTCACCATCTCTGAAAAGCAACAATCTGGTGTCTTATTGGAAAAACACACAACAAGGACTAAGTGGGATAAATATATCTGCAGTGTGCTGTTTCTTTAGTCATTAGCTGATGAATAAAAGATATGCATTAATTTGATATCTTGTTGTATTTGTGTCCCTTCCCTCTCTAAACCATGTTGTGTGCAGCAAACATCACCGAGCACAGTGAGGGCAGATTTTGAAATGTTGCCAAAACTAAATGACATTTTTCTAAATATTTGAGTAAAATGGAAAGAATTACAAAGGTTGTGAATCCTACTAACACAAGGATTGATTTACAACTTGAACAATCAATCAGGCTTTACCGCGTAAGTGAGAGGCTTATATGGTACACATGTGTTCAAACAGCTGCCCGGGCTGGCCTTGGGCAGAACCGCAAAACTGAGTCACAAAATGTTTCAGTTTACACTTCTGATGGTAATGAAGAAAAAATGCGTTAACTCTTATGTATTTAATACTGAAATAAGACTTGACCTCACTGTTGCCGTGCAGTATGAACACATCTGCGTGTGTGTGTTCGCAAATTTTTTTTTTTTTTCAGAAATAGCTTTCTGGATGCTTGGTATCCATGGAAACATCCAATTACCTGACACTAAAAGAAGAAAAAAAAACAATCCAGTGCAAAATGTAGGATGCCAGCAGAGAGTTTGAAAATATTTGTAACTTCATCTCTTCCAGATAGATTTGTTTACTTTATCTTGCTCATGCCTCAGTTGTTTAGATTGTGCATTGAAAAAGCATCACTGTGTGTATAATATCTCTCTCTGCATTATATGTAGGCATTACAGACAGACACAGCATCTGTGTCTGCAAAGTGCCACTTTTTATTAAGGCCATTAACCATAGATCACCTTTGACTCATTCTATTTGTCAGATTGATAGTGTTATGTTGCTTAGCTGCTTGCAAAACCCAGTTTTGCAAGGGAGAAGGAAATTAGGGCAGATCTACATTATGTAAGCTTGAAGGAATGTGTCAGGCTGTGTGAAGACGGCATATGACTGTAAGCATTCACCAAAGGAAAAACACTTACTATCTTCTATCGTGTGAGTGGAGCGTTAGAAATGTGACTGTTTCAAAGCCTCTTGACATTTCTGGGTTTTTTTGTGAGAAGCAGAACAGAATCTTTCATCTTGCTTTACACATATGGCATCCCGTTGTTAGTCTTAGACTATGTTTCTGTCCCTGAAGATTTTTCACTCTTCTATTTCCCTATGCAGCAATGCTGTGTTTCTCTCCTTCTCACTTTGTATGTGTGCGTCTGTGTGTGTGCGCTCGAATGTGTGAGTCTGAGAGCATAAATTATTGACTCAGAGTGTATTCACGCTTGCCTCAAGGACTTCAGCCAAGCAACATGGCAATACCTTCATCCTATCTCTTCGTCTTTCAACATTTTTGTTTCAAAAGCCTCCACACATCTCAGCACTAAACTAAAGGTCTTCAGTAATAATAGATGTGCTACATCTTTGGAATAAACTGCCATTTATCTATGTCCAGTTTGCTTGTAAATAATGGATGTTAGGACGAAGCCCTTTGTATCACGTATTGGAGAAAACCTTCATGCTTCTGAGATGAGATTGTATTTAAAAACCCAAAGTGAGGGATTTGCTAAATGTTGCCAAGTATATTTACAACAACAGAAAACAGTACGTGGAAGAGACAGCAATATTTATGAGGGCTTATCCAGGCTTATGGCTGCCAACCTGAGAAAAGTGACAAAATCCTTCCTCATCCTCCCATTTATAGTACTCACACTAAACATGAGAATGATATTTCACGTGTAGAAAAGAGAAAGGCTTAAGCAACAGGCAGAATGAAATGCTGTATTGTAAATATGTTGAATTGATGTTTATAAGAGGCTTTTATAGCCCTTCAATGCATTGTATGAAAATATCTGCGAGCTCTATTCTGTATGCATATCATTCTATGAGATTTCTTTCTCATTAGCAAGACAAATTAATAGTTTTCCCCTGATTCAAAACAATCTGCCTGTATGCTTGGGGTTTTTTTTCCCCAGTCTAATCACAAGCATACCGTGTCCTGCTTTTTCTACCCTGCGGAGTGGCTCTTGTGGCATAAGCCTCTGCCTTAGCCTGATATGCATTCTCTTTTATCAGCATCTTTTTCCTTGTCGCTCACCAGCAGATCAAGAGCGTGTCCTTCTCTGTGCCTTCGCCTAAAGTGGAACTATAACTGTAGCAACAGGCTGGTATGCTGGCTGGCCTGTAATTCATAGTGACAACAAACAGGCCAAGATAACTCATATATAACAATTGTAATGAAGTGAGAAAAATAGTCACTGTAACAGTAAAGCTTTTTGTTTATTTGTCTGCCTGGTGGTGGATTTATTTAGAGATGCAGCACACCAGCAGGAACAGTGTCTCCTGCTGATTTGAAAAAGATGTGACCTGAAAGGGTCCTGTTTTTGTTTCCTCGTTCGGCTGAGAGAAAAAGGAGAGAGACACACATCCCACAATAGAGAGGCTGCCTCGCTTGAACAGTAATGCCACACTCAAGAACACAGACAGTTTCAAAGGCCATATTTTACACAGATGGAATGTCAACCCACAATTCAAACAAGATTTTGCTTGAAGATTTCATACATGGACTACAACATGATTCAACGTTAGATTAGAACACCGACTAAAACTAATTATCCTATTTTTTTGTTTTTATATGGGATTTTTTCAAGGGGGTTTTGTTACTATTCCATGATTTCATCCTCAGAGGTAAATCAGACTGGGGTGTGAGACTGCTGAATGAAGGGCTATGATGTGTGAGAGGACTATTGCAGAATGCCCGTTTGCTGAGGCTGCCTGAATTTAAATCCAGCCCCAGCTTCACTGTTTCTTATTTCCCCCTCGTGCCTCCAGAGCCCCTCATAAATTTGCACCGACCGTTCCAGGGAAGGTGGATAACCTCTTGCTTGCTGGTATTTAAATGTGTACCTTTTTCTAGCAAGGAGCAGTCAATCTTATCTAAAGTTAAAAAGTTGAACAGTAAACTGTATTTAATCTCTTTTTTGACTTACTACTTCAAGTGAAAGATTAAACATCAGAATCATAAGCTGCAAAACTAAAAACGTTTTCAAGTTGGAACATTGTTGTAACAAATGTGAAAAAACTATTTCAAGATGGAAGAATATGATATGAATTATCTGCTCAATGAAGAAGCTTTTGATTTTTACAAAGTATTCCTGAGAAAAGTCACAATCATAATCCATCAGTCATTCTTAGTATTTTTCAAATACTGATAAGACGTGTTTTTAGCTAACAGCTCTTTTAGAATGGAATTGCT